CTGTACCCATGGGCTGCAGCCAGGGGCCAGATGTGCTGGCACAAACACTGTCTGTCAGCACGTGAGCCCTCTGCCACTGCAGATCCTGCTCCAAAGAGGGTGTGGGCCTGGATCCAGAGTACCTAGAGGCAGGATTTTGCCATGTGGGGATACAGACAAAAGTTTAGGACCTGTCTAGACCTCTTCGGACTACTAGAAGCAGGACCTGTTTAGTACAGGGACTCCTGTAGGCACAGGAATGAGTTAAGATTCAAAACCAAGAATCCTTGAACTCCAGCTTCTACTTGACTTCTGATCTTGATTTTAAGGAATTTATGCAACATTTTCAGGCCCATAGTCCTTGCCTTTTCAACAGGATAGCTAGTTTTCTTTTAACCCCGGAGTTAATGAGCTTTCAACAGGTGCCAAATCTAAATTGGTCTAACTTGCCCTCTTATTGCCTGTAGTGTGTTGTATACAATGCTGAATATTGTCAGAGCTCAAAAGCACTTAAGTCTCCTAAAGCCACCAAATGCATCCTATTGGCTTCTGTTTAAAATTTTAGTCTTATAGATTGCACCTATTCATTAGCTGATAATGAGAAGTTGTTTGTGTGGGAGACTGATACAATCCTGCAACCTCCGATGGGCTTGGTCTGTGGTTGCGCTAATGCAGAGATGCCTTCTGAGTGGGAATCTCTGGTGGAAGTCAAGTCTGAAGTAGTCTGCTAAGGTCTGACTTCTAAGGTCATAAGACAGGCCATTTGGGTCTCCTCTCCAGTGTCACCTGACATCTGTCACTGAGTGACAGAAAGGATCTATGTTTGATAGGAAACACTTGCATATCCAACTTGAATATGACATGATCCTGTTGATAGCTTTGGGATTTTTCCTTTGTGATTTTATTTGATCGGAAAAGTCCCTCAGACCCACGATTCTTTCAGTAGGCATTTTGTGAGAGGCTGGTAATTGGTGTTCAGTTAGAATTACTGTATAAGCTGTATTTATCAAAAAATTGTTTAAAATTTTGGTGGTGAATCTCTCGACTACTGCAATGCAGCCAATGGGCAACCTCAGCAGAAGGAGACAGCTGGATTACTTGCGGTTCCATTCGTCATGACCTTGGCTGGGCTTGAAGACTGTATATCACCCACAGCGTGGGTCAGCAAAAAACCTCCTCACAACCTCTGAGGTTCTGCGAGTTCTCCAGGGCAGAGATGAGCCATGTGGCAGATGTCCATAGCTTTCTGCAAGCTTTACAAATTGCTGCTTAGGGAAAATGCTGCCACTGAACTGCCATCAAAACTCATCTTGTGCAACCCAGCGGATCTGTCATGATTCAGGTGTGGGGTGTGCAGTGGGCTTGGGGTGGTGCTGCTGTTTTTTTTTTTTTTTTTTTTTTCTCCCAAGGACTTCACTTTCAGCTGGGAATGATTTATTAATTGTGGTATTTGTTGCTTGTAGTAGGGAGGGAATGAGCCAAAGTGAAAAGTGGTACAAAAGGTATTTTTCTCTTGGGTTACTTACGTCTCATATCTAGATGTGATGAGAATGTCTTCAGTGAGTAACTGAGCTGCATCACTTACAAATACTTGTAAAAATTTATCCACACAGAAAATGGCCTCTTCATTTGCAGTACCCTCTGGTTGATCTTGCAGAGGATGTAGAGACCTTTCTCCCAGATTTTTGCAGATTCATCTGAGGGCCAAGCGACCTCCCAGGGCTGCTGCCTGCCACTGAGGAGGGATGGGAGTGAGGAGGCCCACGTGGGCTGGCTGCTGGAGGTGGCCTTGGATCCTAGGCTGCCCTGCCTGTGCTGGAGAGCTTGGATTTGTCTGTCCTCTGTGCTCCGGATTTTGCCTCTGGGGTTCCCACTGATCCATGCTGTAAAACAGGTTCAGTCCCCTGGCCTCGGAGTCTGAGCAGCCTCTGCAGATGGTTGGTGAGCCCTGATGAGTGGTGAGGTTTTCCTCCACCCATGTCCCCAGCAGCTCAGCTGACTTTGGCTCACCAGCATGGCTATTGAAAAGACTCAGATGTGTGTGTGGTCCCTGTAAAAATAAATCTTTGAAGGAAATAAATGGTATGTAGTGAAAGTCTGCCAAGTCCCCATTGCTTATTAGCTCATAGTATCATGTAGGAGACTTAACTCTCTCGTGTTATATAGGATAATTCTTTGATGAACTGTGAGCCCTTCTGAAGATTCAGGTTTAAAACATGCACTCTGCAGGGGTGAATCCAAGTGCGGACGGGGCTTGTCTTTAGATGAGGGATGCATTACTTGAGACATTTGGCAGAGACTTGACTCTGGAGGGGTTCAGTGTAGACGTTCTCATCAAACAAAGCTTTGGAAGCAGTGGTCAGGGTGAAGCTTTCAAAGCAGTTTAAGAACTGAGGTTAAAATTCTTTAAAATGTAGTTAAATGTACATATCTAAATAGACTGATGTGAAAATGATGACTAATGGTAAAACATGCTACAGTTGTGCCACATTTCTTTATAGCAATGAGGATGCCAGGTAGCAGTGCAAGTGGGTATTAACAGAGTACTTAGGAATGCAACTCCTAGCAGTGATGGAAATGGGGGTTTCTAGGTGTATATGCAGGAATTGGCACAGAAGCAGCCACAAAATCCCTTTCACCTGCACAGCCCCTCCCTTTCCAATGTATCCTGGTTGCTTGGCAATGTCAACAAAAGTATTGTTATCCAGAGTTAGCTTCACAGGCAGAAGATTAATGGTTTGTTTCCTGCAGTAAAGATGATTCACCTGATTTAAAGCAGATAACTTAATCTGAAGAGCTAAATTTATCTTTCCTTTAGCTAGATGAATTTTATGATGGGAGGAAAAATGACTTTTTTTCCGATTCTCAATCACTCAGTGCTGCCTAAAATGGTTTAGATTTTTATCTTGAGTCTTTTCTGATGTAAATAAGTCTTGACCAGCATTAACTCCTTAGGGCTGGAGAAGATATTCTTGGGCCTGACCACCAGATATGAAATGCAGAGACCTTCTGAAGGATCAGGCCCTTATCCTCATCAAGCAACTGCTGCTTATTTCTGCCATATGGAACAGCCCAGACAGTGTCTGGAGGATGAGGTTCTGTTGTTTGTAGAGTAGTAAGTGTGAGGTGATCCCCCTGAGATCACACCAGATCTCCAGGGCTTGCTGCCTCTGGTGACACTCTGGCTACTGAGATCTTTCTTGCCTCATGGCAGATTGAAAGAAGGACAATGGGACTGAGGTGATTTGGACATCTCTCAGGTGAGATTCAAGGTGAAGCCTGCAGTTATTGGTTAGAGAAACTTTATGCTCCAGTCAGGAACAAATGAGGTCTTGCTGGAGTACTGCTGCTTAATTCTAAGTTTTTCTAAAAGCAAGCAGAGCAGATGTGTCCTCAATGTGCTTCATCTTCTCACCAGTAAGATCAGATGTGGAAAGAAGCTGAGATGTGCTGAGAGACCACTGCTGTCCTTGGAATACTCCCCATGAGCCAGACCGGAGAGATCAACAATGATTTTGTGATTCCACAGGCTGCAGGGATTGGCATCATCCATCCAGGCCCCCCTGCAGTAGTATCCAGTGACTTGGATGTGGTCCAATGCAGTCTGCCTCTTCTGCACCAAAGCTTTGTGCACTGCTGAAGACTAGGTTTGGTTTCCCTTTTCTGTTTTTGCTGTTATGCTTAATACTTTTGTAATATCTTTCCATTTTAATATGAATTTATATTTACAATGGAACTGTTACACAGAGGAACAGTGTTAATTCAAGACAGATCACAAATGGCCAGGCATGATCTAATCTGGGAATAGGATGGAGAGGGCTTAAAGTCCCATCTGCCTCGAGCATCTGCATACCCTGGAGAGCAGAGATCCTGTGCCTTCCTTGAGTGCGAATTTCTGAAAGGGGAGAGGTGAAGAGTGATGCCACCAAACATGTACTGCACAGCTGATGGCTTCAGCAGAGGATGTGAGGAAGCCCTCTATAAATGAGCGAACGCAGGCTCCAGGGAATACGAACACTTTTACAAATGCAATGTGTGAAAGTTGCCAGGAAACAAAGATTATGAGCTTTCCATGGGCTGGTGTCAGCACTGCCTCAGCTACCATGTGCAAGGCAGACAAAGCTGGAATAAATACTGAATACTTCTGTGCAAATGTGATATACCATAATGTGCCAAAATGACAAAATCTGCGGGTTCTCATGCAAAACAGATGCAGCATTGTTAGGAACCAGTCCCTTCTGCTGGTAAGATCCTCCCATTTCCCTGATCTGGTGCTACCTAGACTAAAGATGGACCAGCAGTGGGGACTGGGAGTGGGGTGCTGCTGCCCTACCTGGCAATGTCCACCCAAGAAGCAGGTGAAGGATTTCACTGATTCGAGGGAAGAGCCCGGTGCGATCTCCTGCCAGCTGAGTCCTCCTGCAGTGAGATCAGAAAATAAACTTCTTTGTTTGGGACATGAGCCAGGCTGATTCTGGTTGTGTTTCTACCCAGCGACTCCAGCCGGGCTCCCTTGGAGATGTGAATGGACTGGGATTTAGCGGTCTGGTTTTGGCCCATGTTCAATGTCAATGGAGAAGAATTATGCGGGGCGCTGGCATGCAGAACCACCGAGTTAACTCTCCTTTTTGTTTTGCCAGTTGAAGGCAGGAATGAAAAAAGCTCTAGGGGCAGTCGTGGGTGCAGCGCTGCAGCGAGCCCTTGCTCAGTCGCTTCCACGCACCAGCATCGCAGCGTGCTGCGGGGCTGCAGCTGTGACCTCACCGCCGTGCTAATCCTGCAAGATTGGTACAGCCAACTAATTATGCTCTTTTTTTTTTTTTTCTCCCACTGGGGCCAGATGCTTTGTGAGTAAAGCTAGAGTCAAAGGGAAACCTGCTCCCTCCAAACAGGACCCCAAGATTTGCTCCTTTAAACTTGTTATTTTACCAATCTGCTAATATATCCAGAGCTGGAATGAACATATTCTTTTCTTCTCAAATAGAGCTGGGGAGACTGCAAGCGGATGACTGAGAATCAAAACTGAGGCAAAGTTACCACGAAGGGATTGAACAAGGCACTAGGACCTAGGAGGAGTCTCATCCACCCTGGCAGGAATTTCTTGCTTGGAGCTCAGACAACAAAGGCAGAGTGAGCCTGGGTTTCTTTCTCTCAGCATCTCCACCCTGTGCGCTGCAAACCGGTGAGTAGAGAGAGCCTTTTTAGTGACTTGTGTGCAGAAAAGTAACGGGTGTGAGAAGGAAGGGAGGGATCTTTCTCGCAGGATCTCAGAGCATCTGCGGTTCATTTTTAAAACAAAACGCCCGCATCCCCCGCGCGTTCCCGAAGTTGCGCGGCTGTTTCATTGTTCGGCACGCGGCACTGTGCTGGCTCTGCCGCAGCGCTGCTGTGGGGGGCTGCTCCCTGCCCTGCTTGGGTTTTCTGAACAGATCCCCTGCATTGTCACCCTCGGCTTTGCTGCAGCTTGGGAACAATGATTTCGATCTCACATCCCTCACGGTGACACTGGGAGGGAGCCTTGTTCTGGCAGATGTGGGGGGTGAAAAAGAGATAGCAACAGCTTTTCCTGCATAGACACCTGGCTGCCAAGTGCTGGGTGTGAATCCTGCTCCTGCCACCGGGCAGATGCAAGTGGCGCATTGCTGGTGGTGCCAGACGCTCCCCCTCGGCACCAAAGGAGTCTCCTCTTGTGTCAGGGTTAGGTGAGTGAGGGAGGTAGGTCCTGAGCAAAAATGATGCTCCGGGAAAAATTCCCGTGGCGGGTGCCAGCCAATGCCCCAGCTCTCCTGGCTCTGGGAACAATGGAAGGTGCTGTCGGGTGCTCTCTGGGTACGTCCCCCACTGCGGGGAGGGATGAAGCAGTGGGGAGAGCTCCTCTATTTTCTCCCCCTCATTAAATGGGAGAAGAAATGCAATTCCAAAGAGACTCAGATTGAGGGGAGCTTATGGAAGCCTCCTTTCAGTGACAGCTTTTCCTTTGCAGTGGTTTCTTGATGCTGTGGGCTGCTCTGGAGAAGTGATTGATGGGCGAGGAGGGGGCTGCGGAGGGGGAAGGGTGGCGCTCCTGCTACCCTCCTTGAGCAGCCGGCCACAAAGAAACGGCCCGGTCCCCCGCGGCCACTCTTTCATAAATGCCAGTTTATTCTCATGTTAAATATTCAGATGCTCTGGGTCCTTCCCTGCTCGCAGATCGGAGGACCAGCTTGCTGGGCTTGCCTAGCTTTTGGTTGCCAAAGGAAACGTTCCAGGGCTTTGGGGGTTCACCACGTTCCCAGCTGATGTCTGGGGCAAGTGTGGGGGCTGAGCGGTAGTCGCTGTGTTTTTGCTTTGGCTCCAGTCCCAATTTCCTGCACTTTGACAACTCGTGGGCGCAGGAGTGGGCTGCTTGCTCCAGCCACCCTCCCTGCCCCTGGCTGCATCCCGGAATGTGAGGAGCCTCTGCCCCAGCATGACACCCACCCGGGCAAGGGCCCCTTCCCCAGCCTGTCCCCGTCCCGTTCGTGTGCTAGGGTGAGACTTCTCAGCACCCTTTGGTATTGCTCAGCCCTAACTCACACCTTTTGTGCTCCTTCCTTCCGTCTCCTTCCTGTCCAGCTTCTGATCTCCAGGGCTCCCCAAACTATGGAACTTGATTTTGGACATTTTGACGAAAGAGACAAGGCGTCCAGGAACATGCGAGGCTCCCGCATGAACGGCCTGCCCAGCCCCACGCACAGCGCCCACTGCAGCTTCTACCGCACCCGCACCCTGCAGGCGCTCAGCAACGAGAAGAAGGCCAAGAAGGTGCGTTTCTATCGCAACGGGGACCGCTACTTCAAGGGGATTGTATATGCCGTGTCCTCCGACCGCTTCCGGAGTTTCGATGCTCTCCTGGCCGACCTGACCCGCTCCCTGTCGGACAACATCAACCTGCCGCAGGGCGTCCGGTATATATACACCATCGATGGCTCGCGCAAGATCGGCAGCATGGACGAGCTGGAGGAAGGTAAAGAGCGGGTGGCGCATGGGGACATGGGGAGAGGGGACTGCGCTGAGGTCACCTCTCCTGACCTGGACATGCTCCTGTTCTCCAGGCTGCTCTGCAGAGGGGCTGAAAGGGCAGTGGCGGGGCTGTCCCAGTGTCTGTTCATCCCCTAGCCTGGCTGGTGCTGGCTCAGGTGCAGAGCAGGAGGGCGGGTCCTGGGCTGGCTGCTGTGTCCATCCCTGGGTTGTCCTAACGGGCCAGGGTCACCGCTGCAGGTGGGGAGGGGGCTTTCCCTGCATGTGCAAAAGGGGATTTTGCATGTGAATCACCCCAATTTGGGGGACTTCATGCAATGTGTGGGTGTGCAGGGGGTCATGCAGTGTGTGTGTGTGGGCGTGTGGAGTGTTTGGGAGGGGTGATGCAGTGTGTGGGGGGTGTGTGCAGGAGGTGGTTCCTGCAGTGTTGGGGGTGCTGGGGGGGATTTTGGGGACATGGTGGGGTTCCTGCAGTGAGGGGTGTGTGCACAGTGGTGTGGAGGGGTGTTGGTGCAGTGTGGGGGTGTGTGTTGGTTTCTGCAGTGGGTGTGCAGGGGGCTTATCAGTGTGTGCACGAGGGGTGTGCAGTCGTGTGGCAGGGTTGGTGCAGTGTGCGGGTGTGCATGGGGGAGCTGGAGCTCATGCAGTGTGTGGGAGTGTGGAAGAGGCTGTTGGGGGGTTGTGCTGGCTGTGTGTGGGGATTCGGAAGGGCTCTTGGGTTGGTGCAGCATTTGAGGGCTGCAGGGGGTGTGGAAGGGATGTTGGGAGTTTGTGCAGGGTGTGTTGGGGATGTGGGATGCGTGCTTGGAGGGGTTCATGCAGATAGCTGTGTGTGGAGAGGGTATTTGGCAGATAGGGTTGCAGAGCTGGTTTTGGTGCTAGGAGGTACATCAGGAGGGCTGGGTGCACAGGGGTGTTCAGGGTTTCAGGGAGCTGGTGCTGGGGGGAGGGGGTGCTAGGGGTGCTGAGACCCGTGCACATGTGCACAGGGCCCCCAGCCAGCCGCCTCTCCTGCTCTGCTGCAATCCCGATGCTCCCTCCTTTGTTTGGCTCCGGAATATTCCGGTTGCTTTGTCGGAGAGGGGAGATGCTTTCCGGCCCCTTGGTGTGCTTTCTGCAGGCGAGGTGACCTGGCTCACTTGGTGACACTAGCAGAACACGGGATCTTTACCCCAGCACAAGGGAGCAGAGCTGTGAGTGTCAGGCTG